CCCCCCCCCCCCCCCCCCCCCCTTGAAAAAGTCTCCTCCCATTGATTCCCTCATACCTAGTTTACTTGTTGGATTTCTTCCTCCGGTACAAACATCACTTCAAATGACTCTTCGACGTATGTATGTATGGACGTTCCGGCAAACCGGACTAAAGTTACTTACCGGGCAAGGCTAGGCAAGCCTATTGTGCCTATTGGAAAGCCCCTTTGGGGAGGTAACAATAAAGTATGTGTGTATTGTAGTAGAGAGACACTCATTAGTAAACCTATACCGAATTAGTACGCAGGAAGACAGTTATTAGTATGGAGGAACCCTTTTTTACCTAGCTGGCTAGACACTGACAAGGCACATGCATAATAAGTATGCAGAAAGGCAATGACTAGGCACTTAATTAGTATGCAGGATTAGGCAATGACTACGCACTTGCTTAGGCACTGGCTAGGCACTAAACAGGCGTAGAAACAACCTAGTAGACTACTTAAGTGTAAAGCTTTTAATCCTGACTAAGAAAAAATCCTACTATTTTTCGAGATAATCGAAATATCGACTTGTCAACACCCGGGTATGATCAACTTATTCTAGAGGAAGCCTCCTTTTTTAGTCTGTTTAGCAAAACGCGCGACAGCATGAAATGGCCTTGCGTGTGAATGAGGGCGCGAGACAGAAAGGCGAGAAAATTACCCTTCATGGTAAGGTGATTCTTTATGGTGTAAAAGTTGAAGTGTAATTAACGGTTTTAAGCTGAATTAGGTATTTTGACTTTCTTTTTTTTAACCTGATGAAACAACCGCGGGAGATGTCTTTTGAGTAAATTCGGTTTTCCTGCCAGAAACTTATGTGTCCAGCCGCGTGAGCATCATAGGTGTAAGCTAACATTCTTTAAGCTTCATTATTATTCATTCAAAATATTTCCCCGATTCTGAACGGCGAAAAGCACACGTTTGATTCACCATAACCAGTTACTGATGAACAAAGTTGGAAGAATTTTGTGTTTAGCGGCGATATGATGTCAAAAATGCAGCGTTTTTGCAGGTTAATGCACCTTTAACCGAGAAGACCCGGGGACGAGGTTGAGTTGTTTTGGTTGTGAACTTGAAAAATGGCGGACATTTCACTCGTTTCAAGAGTAAGAACTAAACGAAAAAATAGCTAAAAACATGGCAAGAAAAGCAAGAACACAACTCGAAGGGCGACGTCTGCTATTTCGAGAAATTTTGCGGAGCTTAACAACCCTAAACGTGCACTATCGAAGATGAACTTAACATCGATGGATCGATGGAGGTAAGGCTGCGCACGCCCGCAAATTAATACAGAGCGTTTTATGAACACCTTTGTAAATAGGTTGATTTTTAAGCTCCATTTATTGTAATGACATACTTTTTTTTATTATATATATATGTAGATATTTTTATCATAGTTTTTAATCTTCCGTATTATTGTAACATAAGATATGTAGTTTTATCTTTTGATGAAATAAAGACTCATTATTATTATTATTATTATTATTATTATTATTATTAAAAACTAATAGTTGGATAGAAGAGCATGCACTGTGAGGCCCAAATAGCCTGATTTTGGCTACGGCGGCGCAGAGTTTTCCAGAGCTTACGCGCGAGGTCACAAGCGTAAGCACTGGGGTCGAGAATAAGTAGTGGACCGTCCGCATCCACGTGCGCTAAGCGCGCGCCGCGAAGCCTTAGAGCTAAAGAAAATTGGGGAAACCTATGGATCCGAGATAATTTGGTTATGACGGCAGCGTGCGATTGAACGCCGACCGTCCGTATAGACTCTTAGACCCTATTTACATGGAGTGGGGGACCCCGGTCTAGTGGGGTAGGTTTCTTTTTGTTTTGTGTCCCCTAGAGCGTGAAAACAAAAGAAACCAACCCCACTAGACCGGGGTCCCCCACTCCATGTAAACAGGCCCTTAAGGTAGGGGTAAAAAAAAACTCAGGAGAGTAGAAAAAGGAAACCCAGACGTGTATCTTGCGTTTCGTTGTGGCGCAAAATCAACCATTTTAGGAACAACCAACGGGCTTACTCGAGTAAAAAATTCTAGATTGATTTTTCTTGTGCTCGGCGGACGAAAAAATTTTGCGGAAGAAATTTCTAAGGCTTTGCTTTTTGCTTGGTCACGCTTTTGGTCACGCTCCAGGAACAACCTAGCGTCTCCCCTCCCACCCCTGGTCAACAGTTTGACAGTTGAATTCATGCGGGCAAACTTATTCAGAAAACTTTTGTTCGCCGACAAACTACTTGCCGGCAACTGAAGCCTTCTTTTTCATTTCATTAAACTAAAGTTTTAAACTTATCCTGTTTTTGCAGAGCTGCTGCACTATGAAATAATAAATAGATTTAGCTAGGGCTAAAAGCGAATCTCTCGTTACTATACTTATACATGCAATTTACACACATAAAAACAAAATCGTGTAATGCGGCGACGGGATTGAGAACGGCGAAAAAGAACAACGCAAACAAGAACAGCAACAACAATAGGTCTAATTAGCAAAAAAAAAAAAAACTTTACGCGTGAACGCACTTTTTTTGCACATTTCTTTGTCGTTTTTGTTCCACGACTACAACGTGAAACCTTTCTAGTCACACGTTTTGCGGCTGTTTAGTGATGCAGACGTATTGGTAAGAATTCTTTTCCAAGACTATTACCGCAATCGGATTTGATTTATATTTTTTCCTTTTTTTGTTAATCAGTTAAGTATAAATTTCTGGATATCTTCCTATAGGTTGAAGCTTATTCTTTTTAAGGTTTTTGGTTTTAAGTAATTAAAAGTATATAAATGGAAGCTTCGCTTTTAGCCTTGACTAAATCTATATTTTGTTTCTGACTTTTATCGTGTTAGAGAAACTTGTTTGTTGTCTCTCAATGTAAGAACCGTTCTTGTGTTCTTCACCTCATTCTTTTCGGGTATTTTATGACCAGTGCCGTGGCAACCGTTTTAGGTATTTTATTTGTACATAATTTGCCGCGCTTATCCCGGTTTCCTTATCATGAAGCATGGCTGGGGGTATTCACCATTTTCACATAGACCGTACTGCACCTTGTTTATCCCACAAAATTTTGCATAACCATTGTCTTCGATTTCTCTTGGGACAACTGTATTACCGAGGAGAAATAGGGAAAAATAGTTGTGCAAAAATTTGGCCGGTAAACGAGGTGCATTATGGGCTATGTGAAAATGGAGAATAGACCTTTTTACCGATACGGCGGCCATATTGAATTAATTCGATTTAAGGAGTATTATAGGATGCCCAGGGGGTATGAGCACATTTCGTTTGTATTTTCGAGCGCTTTTCGGGACATTTTTCCTGAAAGTTTTCTTAGAATAAGATTCTAATGGGAAAAAGATCCTTGTGCCGTGTTAGGATGTAATAACGATCGCCTTTTTCCCGAGAAATATACAGTGAAAGACCATATTACTAATACTAAACTAGAAAAAGGCGATCTAAGATAAAACGTCCCGAAAAGCGCTCGAAAATACAAACAAAATGTGCTCATGCCCCCTGGGCATCCTATAATACTCCTTAAATCGAATTAATCCAATATGGCCGCCGTATCGGTAAAAAGGTCTATTACCACTTCCTCCCTGGACAGGTTGCCAGTCCACCGCAGGGTTACCCCCTAAACAGCTTTAAGTATCTCACGCGGTCTCCTTAATAATTCTTTTTCGAAGGCAAGACCTAATGCGTTTGCCCATGTTCCTTGTAAATTATTTTATAACACAACGGATGTCTCCAAAAATCAGTCACTCATTTTATAGCGAAAAGCATAATTTTCCTCGCCATTAAGACAAGCATTGCTTATTTCAATTTATAGAGAAGCCGAAGATAAGGATTCCGTTGTCAGTAGTACGCAGTGTACCAGAGCATTATACGTGGTTCATGCTGGAAGGCACTCCACCCATTGAAGCTTGGTTAAACAACTCACCTACACCTTTGGAGGGTGGGCCAGTGGTGAAAGGACTTCAATTCGTTCAGACGGGAAACTATACAATTCTGGCAAAAAGTGATGCAGGAAATAGCTCCAAAAAGGTTGACGTTAACGTTATGGGTAAGGTTTTTGTCTCAAAGTTAACATGGCAATATGTCGAACCATATTTCAATACCAAACTATGATAACTGATATTTTTTGCTCATATTCAAGTGTCTTTCCCAATGAAACGATTCAACCGTGTTGCTTTTGAACGCACTGGTGGTGTATTTTTTAATATAGTAGTTGTGCAAGTTTATAGTGTAACTTTATGAACACATTTGGTTTAGAAATCTACCGTTGCAGTTGTCTCATCCGCTTTTCACTTGTCATCTGTTACCTGAGAAAAGATGCATTGATTTCGCAGATTGCAGGCATTTATGTCAAAGCAAGGGTCTTTTAAATGGTTCTGGGCAAGTAACAAACCATCATACCTGCAGTGGAGGCAATGTTACATATATTTGGAAGTGTATACCAACAACAACTACTAATTTGTAAGTGAATTTCCTGGCTCAAGGACTCTTTAACTGCTGATTTTAATAAAATTGCTCAGTGGCAGTGAATCATGCATGAAACAAATAAAAACGTTTCAAAGTGAACGCCCTAAAAGTCGTTTAGCTTGGAAAAAAGCCTTCTGAGGTTTCAATTAATTAAAATTAAAAAAAATTACATATGAACTAAAACGAACATTATTACTTTCATCATTAAAGAAGTATACCTTTGGTCGATGAGGGTTTTTTTACCTTAGTAAGTCTACAGGTTTATACAACCTCAACCTGATTTTGATTTACAGAATGTTTGTGGTTATATGATTATTCCTCGCGAAGCGAGCGGCCTATAAATTTGTCGCGCCGTGTATTGCGTGGATCGCACAGCGACGCAGAAACTCGAGTTGGCAATATTTCTATACATCTCTTATGGTTTCCGTACCCAGTGTAACGTCTAGGTGCATTTTCAACACGACTTCAAAATATGTGGTGCACTATCACGTTTTATTTATGAACAGCTGATGTCTTTAGTTATTCATTTATTTTATTCATTTAGTTTATTCATCGTCTGTCAAACAATGTTTACTCTCTGTGAATCGCGATCAATTTCTCAGACAATTGAAAGAGAACGGCAGGCACAAGATCAACGTTTCATTCAACAAGTGGCTGGGAATCCTCGCTGGGGAAGATTTACCATCGAAACTGTACTGTAGCGAGAACGGGGACTTGAAATCCAGCGCGAGCAACGAAGAAGACGAGCTCGTATATCGAGTGGCCGTTAAGCCCGAGATTGAATAAACGTGGAAATAAAGCGAAATGGCTTTGAAATACTCGCTTAAGCTAATTTTCCTCAATATCTCCTCGAATTCATGATAAATACAACTCCACAAGCTTCAAAACAGCGTGTATGGCAGAGACAAAGGCTTTTAGTATATTAGTCGTACGGTAAAAATTGTCCAGTGGCAGCAAGGCTCAGTGGTCTGGGAGCTGACTCCACGCACTGGAGGCAATCATAGTGTAGTTTTGAATCTCGGTTTGGTTATTTATTTATTGCGTTTTCTTCATACATTTTTTTCTGTTCATTTATTTTTTTCGACATATTTTTGCCCTTTGCCCTGTTTCCCCGTATTCTCATTGCGGACCCTTTACATCTTCTCGAGATTTTTGCGATAACGTATTTCTAGTTTAACAAATAATATAAACCTCCATCATTCTACATCCGCAGAATGTGAATAATCATGGTTGTCAACTATGGAAACCTGTCGTGTGACAATTATGTAACCAAAGGATAACCATGATCAACAATAACGATATGACAATGAGGTTGACCATGGTCAATCTGGTTTCAGCCAAGGGCAGTAGAAACCAATGCACTTCTTCCTTGACAGTATAAAGTGTTCTTCGAAAAACAGAACACACACGAAAGAAGGTCGAAGCACAAAACATACGAGGTGAAACCGCTTACTTGAAACTACGAAGCCGTGCTTTTTGTAGGCAAGTTTCCACACCGACTCTCTTTAAGGTTTTTAAGTCTATCCAAGTTTATTGAGGTCTTGAATTAACCATCCAATTTAAATGATAGAATATCTGCCAGAAATTCCTTTCAATTTGACACAAGGATTGAGCCTGTGTATGGGTACCTGGGGAAATAGGTTTTTCAGGCGGAAAAGTCGGATATCAAGAATTGTTTAACATTGTAGCGCTACTACCAAGCTCAACGCAACCACAACAAAAACGAGAAAATAAACACAGCAAAAAATTCTGAACGTGCAGCACAATGTTTAGTAGGCTTCCTTGTAGTCATTGAAAGACTAACGTTGTCAAAAGGGATTAAAATGGTAATGCGATAGTTGCATCTCTAAGATCGTAGCGACTTCGATTTCGTCGGCAATGTCCATGCATAAGGGGTCAGAATCTTAGGCTTCCTTGTAGTCATTGAAAGACTAACGTTGTCAAAAGGGATTAAAATGGTAATGCGATAGTTGCATCTCTAAGATCGTAGCGACTTCGATTTCGTCGGCAATGTCCATGCATAAGGGGTCAGAATCTTTTGCTATTTGTTGCACCAGAAAATAGATTGTGAGCCATCTAAACAACACCTAAAATTTTAACAGTTTAGGTGAAAAAAGTGTGATTTTAAATGGTTTAGGATTTGGTGGAACCTGGTACATTTACATTGTGGGATCGAGTCAGTTTAGTTAAAGATAGCCTTAATTCGTCAATAAGGATACAAATTAAAGCACGAATCTCGACTTTATGTTCTCAATTTATTCCACAAAACATCACCGCGTTGCCATTGGCTCTTAATCTTTTGCTAGTTAGTAAAGGATTGTTTTTCCACAATGGTTGCCAATATACCACGGTGAAGGGCTGATGGTCACACCCGACGGTCACAGCCATCAGAACAACTACACCAACGTTGTCCGAGCGTGGTTGACGATGAAAAACCATGATAACATGCACAACCTGTTACCGTTGTACTATATTGTGACAAAGGGAAAGACTTTACTGCTTTTTCACTTGGTCAGCTTGTTGCTATACTTAGTCTAACATTTTGAACCGTAAGGCCTGCACCGTCCCCGTGGGCCTTACGGCCTTTTTCAAGTCCATAGAACACCTTCATACTGCGAATAGGCCATTTGCACGATGGTATCGTTTTACTACTACGACCAGAATTCTTTTCGGTTTCCTTTTCATCTTTAAATTTGGTAGCCCCAGTCAGGTTTAAATAACAAAAGCCCTAATTTGCACAAGATAGCAAAACCCTGCAGGATCCTTGTCATAGTAGTAAAATGAGGCCATCATTCAAATGGCCTATTGTTTTGTATAGATTGACCATTTTGATTTACTTTGAATTTAAATTTTAAAGAATGCACTGTTTTTTTGTTAAAATAAATACGTTTTTTGTTTCAAAACCAAAAATAAGGAGACATGTAAACATTAATGTAGGTTACGATTTTTCGTTTGCTGTAGGAAATTGTCAAACAGCATGATCGAGGAAGTCCCGCATGGAATTTTCGCAGACCTCTCTTCATTGCAGATTTTGTAAGTTGTAATGACATTTGTATTTGCAGCTGTTTGGATCCACAGACGATAGAAATTTTGGCTACGTACAGGTTCTGACGATTAATTGCTTGGAGATATATATTTTCCTAATTAACAATGGCAATACACAGTAATTGCAATTGCGATTGCGAGCTAAAACATCAAACATAACGTTCACCCACACCTTGCCAAGACAAACGTTAATTTTCCGTTAAATTTCATATTGACGAAGAAACTGGATCGGGATTCAAGACCACAATCAAAACAGTGGCGGAATCGCATTACAGCTCCTGAGATTTATTTGGGTTAATTTACAATT